AATACGGCTGTTGGTTGTCAGACAGGCTGGTCTGAGTGTCTCAGAAACTGATTGTCTACTGGGATTTTCCCCGTCACAGCCATCTCTAGGATTTACAGACAAAGGTCAAAAGAAGAGAAAAATACCCAGTGAGCAGCAGTTCTTTGGGCGAAAATGTCCAGAGGTCAGACAGGAATGGCCGGAATGCTGTGAGGTGATAAAAAGGGCAGAATAACTCAGATTACTACTTGCTAAAGCAAACTATGCAGAAGAGCATCTCTAAACACACAATACATTGTACCTGGAAGCAGATGTGCTACAGCAGCAGCAGAAGACGACACTGGGTTTCATTCCTGTCAAACCAGCTAAGACCAGGAACCTGAGACTATGTTGAAAAAACAAAAAAAACCTCAAAAACATTGCTTGGTCTGATGAGTCTCAGTTTCTACTGCAACATTTCGGATGGCATTATGGACTGATGATTTCACCTTATATTTCCTCCAGCGTGTGTCAGAATTTAGAGTAAACAATATAAAAGCATTGATTCACCCTGTTCCATGTGGTAGGACAGGAGATTCAAATCATGGATGAAGAGAGTGACAACTCTGCAGCAACTGTGTGATGCTGTCAGGTCAATATGAATCTGAATCTTGGAGGAATGTTTCCACACATTGTTGAACCTGTGCCACAAAGAATTAAGACAATTCTGATGACAAAACAGGTGGAAATCTGCATAACACAGGTGTACTCAGTCAGATGCACTGCCTGAAACGGGAAAACACAATGCAGGGTGATGTGTTATTTGAGGGAAAGAGCATTCCAGAAGATATTCTCTTATTGGGTGTTTTGATGAAGGTGATGGACAACATGGTTGGTGACACTGGTCGCTTAAGCAACCCTACACATTTACTTAGGTTTAGATGATTCACATAATCATCATAATCCTTGAACCACCTGGTGTCCAATGCATGTGCAAACATACAAGTTTGATTTCTTGTATGTTTCCAAAGATGAAGAATACAGCCAGAAACGGCTTTTCCTGCACAAGAAGACGTATTTATCCAAGATAGGCTAAGACTTTGTTAATATGGGCTTAGGGGTGGGTTCATCTTACTGGCAAAATTCTGATAATAAGTGTGAGTGAGACGGCTCAGAGAGACTCAATCGTAAAAATGACTCAGAGTGCTTTTTAAAAAGGCCTGGCAGCTGGAGCCCTGATGTTACTCTTCACATCATGCTTAACCTGGACAAATTTGACTACAGAAACTTCTGGAACGTCTACATGACTGTGGGCTGTTTAATAAACTATAAATATAAATGCATTAAAAATGGAGTGGGTGTGCAAACAATAAATGGCAACAATATACTAGCGATGCATCCAGTATGCTCAAACTCAAGAAGAAGCAGAACAAATGAAATGGGAAATAAAAGTAATAATACCATTCAAAGAAGAAGAAAACGGCGACAATGTGACAGCAGAGGGGGGAGAAGTGGGAAATGATACACCTTTATTTAGTATACAGAAAAATATTGGTAAAAGCTTATTTATTTTAGAAATATGAAATCAGTGGTAGGCAGAAGGTAATTTTAGTTATTTTATTGAAAAAGTCTTATTAATTATGGAATGACAACATTTTTCTTTTTAAGAGAGACTAGAGATGAAATATAAAATGAAGTAGTTTGCTGTGTGTAGAAAACCTTCGTGAAACACGAACTTCCCATTTCTTGCCGCAGATTTGCATTTGGGGGTGTTGTGTATTTACTCCAGGCCAGCAGGTGGCAGTAACACGCTGGTTGTCAACATCCAAAGCCAAGTAGAACGACGACACAGCAGCAGCACTGAGCATACTTTGCTGGAAGGTTAGTAGCCAAATTTACTTTGGTTAATTATTCTCTTGTCAATTATTATATAGTTATAATATTAAAGACAGCGTGTGCGCGTCTTGTGTGAAAATATTCGGTGTAAACACAGCTTCCTTCTCTCCGTAGTTTTTATTATGAAAGTTGGAAATCTCAAGCTAGCAAGCAACGACTTCATGCCACCAAACAAACAGTTACTCAACCGTCCTTTCGACTGGTTTTACATCAGATTACAAACACTTACATATCTTTCCCGCTTTTCTGATACTGGAGGATGTAAAATGCATCCATTCAGCGGACAGTTAATTAGGTAAACCTGGATAGTCTGTTATAGGTCGGTGTACCTTTGTAAAGGGGATAACGGGAGAGCTGTGAGGTCTTTATTAACATGCCAGGGTAATGCAGTCTGTAAAAATTAAATGCGCATGTGTCATTTTAATCCATGCATGAATGACTGACTGCATGAAGTCTGTTTCGGCGCTGAAGCTGCTCTCACGGCATCACAGTGGCTAAATAAGAGCCTCCTCACCAAGCTAACAGATGTTTTTCTGTTATATGGTGAATCAAAAGCATCCTAACCCAGACATGATAAAGACACAATACCCTAATTCTTTTTCAGAGAGATAATTTGTGCCTCAGCAGAAGAAGATATCTGTTTATTGCTTTTATCGTGTAATGGACATCGACTAAAACTGCTTTTTCGCCCCGGCTGAACCCCTGAACATGTCTTTACTTGATTCTCCAGATGTTGTCCTGAACACATCACCTTACATGTCACATGTTTTTATGCCTTCCTAGTTGGTCAACTGCTACAGCTTGATGCTTCCCAGCGTCCTCCGCTGTGCTCGGCCCGTATCCTCCCATCCTGCTTTAACCCGTCCCTTTGCCCACTTCAGACCACATATGGACCCAGACCCCAGCCGGCCCGTTCAAAGGGCTATCACGACCAAACTGACCGACGCGCTGAAGCCAGACCACTTAGAAGTCCAAAATGAAAGCCACATGCACGCCGTGCCCCCCGGTTCGGAATCCCATTTCCGTGTCCTTGTTGTCAGCTCCAAATTTGAGGGCCTGCCGCTGATTCAGCGTCACCGCCTGGTTAACGAAGCTTTGAAGGAGGAGCTAAGTAGCTGCGTTCATGCACTGGCGATCCAAGCAAAGACTCCTGAGCAGTGGCAAAGTAACCCTACCGTGGCTAAGAGTCCGCCCTGCTTGGGAGGTTCGAAAGGTGATCACACAGTGGAGGAGAAGTTAAAGGCTGGGCGAGAATGAAGTGTTGGACTGTGAAGTACTTTCACTTGTGCTGAGGGACTGAAATGTGAAGACTACAGGAAGATACTTGACAAGTATAAAGAGCAGCATTTCCTCTTTTATTTGAAGATCATTTTGTTGTGGTCTTATTTCCAAATCTTTTCTTTAATTCATTAATAATGCAAAAATTGGTTTGAATGGTTCTGTTGTTATAAAACTGCATATCAATTATATGATTTTAGATGGTCACAGGTGTTTTTATCATCCAGGTGCTGCATGAATACAATGCAGGGATGCACTCTTCTTCTTTAAGCTACTGTATGGTTTTATTTTTGTTTGATTTGTGCTCATAGCGTTTAGTGATTTTTAGAGTCAGTAGAAATCTAAATTTCAGGAAAGCCCCTATTTGCCTGTATACTTGCATTTACTTAGTCACCTCTTAGAATAAAGCGATGCTTGCATTGCTGTGAGTGACAATAAAGAGTGATATTACAGTTCCATTTGTGAGACTTGATAATTAAAAGTTTGAATGAAGTTATTCGAGTAGGTGGAATATTTATCTTAGTGTTGAATATTGATTAACATCTTAGTGTTGCACTGCATGTGAAATTACCTGAGTATTGGGGATAATACGTGAGTGCAGTTTAGTGTTTCTTACTATTAAGTCTGAAGAAACAGGTCTTCTGTGTTTGCTCAACCGTTAAGTTGCAGCTTTCCACAGTGGTATACTACAAAGTGGGTACAAAAAGGCAGATTTTCTTTGTGTTGGAAGGCTCAACATCTGAAACCCCAGTAAGAGATGGGGCAAAGTCAGGGTTGTCTGTGCACCTTCAAGCAAACGGTAGATCTATCAGGTGCTTCTTAGGTCAAGCAGTTCTGGCAGGATGAACTGTGAAGTGTTTGCTGCTCAGATTCAGCAAAATGCTGCAAAACCAGTTGGATAGAGCTTCACCGTGCAACTGTATAATGGAGCAAACTGCAAAAGCAAACCAAGAATTACTTAAGGCAAAGATGGGATCTCTGCCCACCAGAACATGTTTTCAGTTATTAAATGCAAAACTGAATGTAGGAAGGTTGTTCGTCCAAGTATTAAATGCAACCAAGTGTTTCAAACATATGTGCATTTTAGCCTCTGAAAATGGGGCCTGTTTGTAAAACTGTCTGCAATTCTAAAATAGTTCACCACTTTTCTTAAAGCTCTTTAATTAAACCTGAAAGTCTGCAGTTCAGTTACAGAAGAAAAAAAAGTTATTGTCTAAATACTGTGGACATAAACTCATGAGATGCTGCTGGTGTTTAGGGAGATGATGGCAGTGTTGCTGTTTCAACACTAGAGGGCAGTATGTGTGAACAAATCGGATTATTTGAATGGCTAAATCAAAAAAACAAAACAAAAACGTTGAGCTAATGTTGGATATCAGTTATTGTGGTGCTTTTTAATTTTCTCCTTATGATTATGCATGTAGTGATATTAAAAACACAAACTGGTATAATGATCAAATCCCAGGACTAAGCTAAGAGAAGCTTATCAACAAAATACACTTTAAGACAAACATGTGTTTGTTTATTTAAATAGAAGTATTTTATTGCTAATTTGTAAATTAGATGTATTTTGAATTATAATTCATGTATTTTTGTTCTCAGAGTTTCACTTGAACTTTTACACAAAAAGTACAAAATGGAGTTTCTGCATACTTGCGTGTGCTGTATGTGGGTGGGCGTCTATTTTTGAGTCGTGTCACTGTAAAGGTCTTCCTGTCCTGTCCTCAACCCTGACGATGGCCAAAAATCACCTCTCACGCCTGCGAAGGAGATAAGACAAGAAAAATAACTGGAGGGAGTCTGACTCAACATAAGGTTTCATTCAACTGAAAGATTCATTTGAGTTTTGTTCAGATTACGTGTAGGACAAAAGCAGCGATGCCGAGCGGATATCGCAGAGCCAAAGCAAGCGTTAAACGCTGTGCTGCAAAGCTGTTCAAAGTTATTGTTAGCTCAAGACAAGTTACTGAACTCCTTTGGTGAAATGTGGTGTCACCTCAAGGTGATGCGTGTCATCTTCTACAATCATCCCCTGCCTGCAATCGACAGCCTGTCAGGCCGCACAAAAGGCTTCGGTGAGGAAGGTGAACAACTGGTGTCACTGGTTTGGAAAAAGGAAAAACAGAAACAACCACTTTATGACCCCTGCTCGCTGAAATGAAGCCGGGGCTGTGAGAGAAAGCCGTACGTTGGGCTGCACGGCCCCGGGACCTGCAGACTGTCTCTGCTGATGTGATTTATTGGTCACAATTCCAGGTGCTGTTATGGATGGAGAGGGAAAAGACATAAAGGGTGATGAGGTGGAGTGCAGGGACTTGTTTTGCACTTAAAAGGTTGGACTGTTTTACATGCGTTTCTAGTACATCACCTATTCAGCCGTGGCAGTTATACGGGAAAATAATAGGGTTGCTCGGTCACTGCTTTGGCCAGAGGTGCAGTTCTAAGTGTATCCAGAGATCAGTAATTTAGCTTTCAGTGAAATGGCTGTTCATTAAATAATTGGGTCAACTAGCTCAGCTAGGAAAATAACATTTAAGAGTTGCCTGTAGCTGTACAATTAACGTCCAGTCAGATGGAGACTCCGCTCGTGGTTGTTTGGAAGGTGACAGTTCAGTTCAGTTCAGTTCAGTGAGCGTTCATTACTTCAGTTTAAAAAGTTTTTTCTTTTTACATGTTCTTATTTTTGTTTTTTGTTTTTTCTTACTGTATTTAATCTTTACAGTCAGGTTAGCACATGTGGCCTAAAAACTTCATCAAAAGAAAGACATGTAACTCAAAGAATCCTGTAACTTCCAACTGAGAAATGTCTTTTTTTCTTTTGATGAAATAAAACCATTAGAGCAGTTTTTATTTTTAGCCGGTTATTCCACAGCTGTTCTTTTTATGTCCCTTTCACCTTTAAAATTAAAGTTAATTATTAAATGCTTCAAAATAAGTAATAAGAGATGTTTCAAGGTGGCTGCTGAGTGGCTCGAGTTTATGAAAGGGCTTGATTGATGTTTGGATGTGCCGAGTTAATGTAAAGACGAACTTTTATGAGCAGTGTTTTTATTCTATTAGTTATAAAAGGCCAGTTAAACACCAACTTTGCTAAATATATGCAAGTGTATTTTATGTATTAATTTCTGCAGGTACTCGTCTATCAGAAATTCACTGTATGGTTTTGAGATGATGTAACTGACTATACCATAAGGAATTTCTATTATTGTTGAAAATGGGGTTCATTCTTCCCTGTATCGGCTCATTCTCACACAGAACTACTGTTCAGTAGTACCATGCCTCTTCCATCATCTCCAGACTCCAGCAGTGATGGATCTGTCTCCGGTCTCAGATCTGGCCTGCATGGCCTGGGGGGGGGTGCACCAGGTCAGTGGGAACCCACCTTGGCAGTTCTGTTTCTGCGTCACAGGCCTGGGACAGATGGTGCCAGCCTGGGCTGGGACCCCGGGCAGGGCAGGGTTCCCGCGATGAACAGTCCCTGATTTACGCTGCGGCTCCGGACCGAGGGCCGGAGTGCAGGGGGCTCCCTTTGCGCAGCTGACCCTGGCTGGCCGCAGGGTCATCCATCGGTAGGGACGGAGAGGGGGGGAGGCGGGGTGGGTACGACAAATGGGTGTCTGAGAAAGGGTGGTTTGTCTGTCTCGAGGGACTGGCGTCTTCTTTTGGCCCCCTGGGCAGCTGCAGGATCTGTGCAGCATGTGTGGAGGAAGAGTCGCCTGTTAAACGCATTTCATTTAAACCCCTCTAAGAACAACACTCATTACATTTACTGCCTTTAATGCCAAACCTGGTGCACTGCACAGTACCAACAGCTCAACAAAAGTTTGGTCCTTTAGTCTTTGGTGTTAATTGGAACGATTCTATATCACAGACTCAATATTAGCAAAAAGGTCTCAAAACGATCAGTCCTACTTACAATTTAATAATCACCGAATTACTCCCGCGCTCCTCTGCTGGTGATTAATCTTTAGCTTGTTTCATGTAGTAAAAAAGAAAAAAAAGAGTTGAACTAAAGGTGATGGTAATAGGCTATTAAGGCTTTTTAATTGGAAAGCCCCCACCCTCACCAACTCTCTCACACCACACCGCTGACTAATGAAATCAGTGAATAGCTGCCTTGAAAGGAAAGGACAAAAGCAGAGATAGGGAGAAGACAATATCCTTGTGTGGGAGAATTAGTTACACTCGGTA